GATAAAATCAGTCCGATGAAAAAGTACGTTGACACAATGAACATTTTGCACAAAAGGATGAACTCGTTCATTGATTAATGTAAATTTATTGCATGAATGAATAGCGTACATTGCTTTTTTCAAATCACATTTTATTGAGCCAACAAAGTCGAACATTATAATTATGTGCAGGATTATCCTGCCAATGATACTACTTTATAGTATCGATTAAAAATGTTCATTGCTGCAATAACACCATACAATGTAATCATGTACAGGTTTGTCTTTCTAACGATGCTAGTTCACAGTATCAATTAAAGCTGTTCATTGAGCCAATAACATCATACGTTCTTATAATGTACGTATTAATCCTGCTAATGAAGCTACTTCATAAAATATTCCTTTATCCAATAAATATTGTTCATCAAATACATGAACATTATACATTGGGAGTTGGGACAATGAAATTATTGGTTGCTTTAATGCTAACTGTTAATTAACACTATGTACCTTGACTTAGCTAATCACGGCATTTAATGTCACTGCATGTCGGTAGTTATAAACACCGTACGCTAATAATTTCTATCAAGGGAAGCTATGAAAGTGAAAACTTCTCACCTCGATTATACCTATAATGTGACAAGTTGTAAAAATTGTAAGTATGATAAGGTAGTTGATAAGTTCTTCTTATCATAATTTTCTTGAAAGAAATTCATTGATCACAGGGTATCTTTTATCATTTCACATTCAGTAATTTTCTAACATAAATAAGGTAATACTAATCAGACAATTAAACACCAAATTCATTTTTCAGGCTTTATTGTACTGCAACGCATATGTAAATAGGTGTTTTATGGCAACTGCAAAACATTAAACTTTAATTTAAAAATATTCAATATCCAATTGCCATCACAAAAGGTTGTATTAGTGCAGCCACATAGCGGCTGCTACGCCACCGTCTAGAATTAACAAAATAAATTCAAACAAATTGTGAAGAAATCGAATTAAGTAAAGCATATTTAGATGAACTCACCTTCATCATCATCGGTACGCATTTCTCGTAATTGATTTACACATTGCTTCCAATTAAGTAATTAAGTAAGCTTTTCTGGTATAATTACGAAAGAGATATTGTTTATACCCAGGGCCAGCGCGAGGCTTTTTTACGCCCTAGGTCAAACTGTCCTATCACGCCCTTTGATTTGTACAATATACAGCACAGAATGCAGAATCATTTTCTATGTAGTCCAATTTAATGAACTAATAGCATAAATGAATAGGTAAAATATGAATAGGAAAAGAAATTTAAAAACTCTTTATAAAGAATAACATTGTCTAATATTTTATTAATACTAAAACATAATCGTATCGTTACTTCCAACAATATTAACATTTACGTCATAACATTGTAGATGCCGCACATTTCCCTTTGAAGGCAGGCCACAATATTAAAATGCTACTTTGCGTGCTTTCTCTTGTGCAAATAATGAAATTAATTCACAGAGGTCCAGATTGTAAGCCAGTTCTTGCTCTATTGATATTGTCGCTAATCCAACTAATCTTTCTTCAGTCATCGTTGAGCGCAAGTACGTTTTAATTAATTTCAATCTAGAAAAACTGCGCTCTCCACTTGCTACAGAAACAGGGAGAGTTAATAAAATCCTTAACGCGACGTAAATATTAGGAACGCTATTCTGGAGATCATGCCTTAAAATGAAAAGAAGAACTTCAGATGGGCCCATTACTTTTGGAAGTCTTCGAGACACACTTTGAAGTTCCCAGCATAAGTCTTCTCCATCAATGTCTTTACAGGAATTATGCGTTAAGGCACTTTCAAACTTTTTGCATTGCATAAGAATATCAGCTTCGTTTTTATCCTTTAAGTTAAAAATATCGTAAAGAAACCCAAATAAAGCACAATACTCTTGCATTTGATTAAATCTTTCCTGTATTGCATTTACTGCATTATCTATAATCATATAATAGAATGATATTTTATAGTTTTGTTTGGGATCTTGTATTGATACACCTTCGGCTTCATAATCAAACTGTTTTTTAATTTTCCTTCGCCTACTAGGTGCATTAGGAAAATTTGCATCAATATCGAGTTCGTTTGCCAGAAGTGTAGCATCTGATAAATTCTTTTCGAAGTTTTCATCTGATCGACAACTTACAAGATAATTCTTTGTAACTTCCAGCTGTTTCGTACATACAAATATGTCTGCATTCTTATTTTGCAGTAATTTGCTTGTAATGTTGATTTCGAAAAGAATATTGTACCACGTAATAAGTGACACTAGAAATTTAAATGTACTTATACCATCTGCAATTCCTTTTGCTTCCACGCGCATGATGTTTCCACTGTAACCTGCTGGATTTGGGTCATTATAAATATCCATAAGGGCGTCATATATTTTCGAAATTTGAAATCGCAGCGGCTTCAACGCATCGATACGGCTTTCCCAACGTGTATCACTCAGGGGTTTGATAGTTAAATTTGCTGCATGTTTTTGAAGAATGTGCCAACGTTTTGTAGAACCAGCGAAAAAAGTATAAATTTTTTGTACAATGTTAAAAAAACTTGTAGCCTCTAGGGAACAGCTCACAGCATCATTCACCACTAAATTCAAGGAATGGGCATTGCATGGAACAAAGAATGCGCGTGGGTTTTTTTCAATGATTTTTCGTTGAACTCCATTTATTTTGCCCTTCATGTTGCTTCCGTTATCGTATCCTTGCCCTCGTAAGTTATCAATTTGTAATCCCATTTGTTCGAGTTCATCCACGATTGTTTTTGATATGAAAGCACCTGTTGTTTCTTGTAGTGGCACAAACCCAAGAAAATGCTCCCGTATGACCACGTCAGGTTGTTGTGTTTCTTCATCCATTACATCAACAAATCTTATTATAATTGTCATTTGTTCCGTATGACTGATGTCAGGAGTACAATCCAATATGATTGAATAATATTTGGCTAATTTAGCACTATTCAAAATTTTTGCTCTTATAGCTCGTGATAGCAGTTGTATAAGTTCATTCTGAATATCCTTGCCGAGATAATGAACAAATAATTTAGCATCTTTAACTTTTTGCAAATGTTCATTCATGACTGGATCGAATAATGCAAGATATTCAATAAATTTTAAATAGTTGCCGTTATTATGGTCATATAATTTATCCTTTGAACCGCGAAAGGCCAAGTTTTGTCCACCCAGAGTTCTCACCAAGGCTATTAAACGATGTAAAATTTGTTTCCAATAGCTCTCCTGTTGTTTAATTTTCTTTTGGTGCATGGCGTCAATGGTTTTATTTTCACGTAGGCGAACTTCTAATTCTCGCCAAACTTGACAATTGTCAATGTGATTTACATTGCGCTCATGGGAAGAGAGGATGGTGCTCATGTTTTTCCAGTCGTTACTTCCTTCTCGGCACAGTGAGGTATATGCAGATTTTTGTTTTTTCTTGAATAACTTGCAGCAAAAACATACAACTGTGTTATTTGATGGAGAATAAACTAACCATTTCCTTGGTATTTTTTCTCCATTACACATTTGTCTATTGAAGTGAACCGTGGTAAACCTACGGTTGTTTTTATCTTTGGGAAACTGACTTGGAATATTTTGTTGAGGGCCGCGTGAGACAATCATTTGTCGCAAATGATCATTTATAGAATCAGGCCAGGTACCAGGATCGTCATAATCAATGGAAACGTATGCCGATGTATTTGATGTTCCTTCATCCTTTAAATTTTCACCGTGTACTGCTTCTGTTCCCTGCTCCGTAGTAGAAGTACTGCATTCACTTGTCTCTGTTAGAATATCCGTATTTTCTTTATCTTCTCTTTGAAGAAAAACAAGGAGAGATCTTTTTAATTTGGCACTTTCTTTCTCTTTTTCCGCTTTCCGTTTTCGGTTTTGCGACCCAGAAGGTCGCTTAGGCTTACTAGCATCAGCCATGACAGTTCTATTGATAGAATACTTTGATTATTCTTGAAAAGCGAACATCACCTATTGCAAGTGGTATTCATAGAACACTTTTGGAGGAAGACATCGATAGGTTTTTAACAGAACGCAGAACACCGTAAACGGCATTGAGAAAAATTTACAAGAATCAATGTTTAATGAGTTTTCATTGAAATAAGACAATTATTAACAAACAATTTTTGTGAAATTTTCTCAGTGTTGTTTACGATGTTCTGATGTTTTAAAAATCCGTCGATATTTTAACTAATTTTAACGTCATAATATTTTCACACTTACCAAATGTTTTAAATCACAACACAATAATAAAGGTTTTTTGGAAAAATGCGATCCGACTACACGTAGAACTACTGCTAAATTTTATAGGTTAGCTATTTAATTCTAGTGACATTTCTTGCGTTGACGGTGGTACGTATTACACTGGTATTCCGGGGTTCCCGTGAAAGCAATAGGAAGTAAGGTTATATTTATGTCTACTTCCTTTAGAGACATTAGAGACCATTAGAGAATGTAAAAAAGATCAGGCAATACACTAATTGAAAACCACGTTAAAATTAAAAATATTATACATAGTCCTTATAGTCCGGTCGAGTATGTAATACGTACAATTGTTAAAGGTTGCCTAATACAGTGGTCGCTTTTGTTAAAAATTTGGCCCCAATTAAGATTAATTTAAGAAAGCGCAAAACTTTTGGCTTCGTTTGGTTTATACCAAACGAAACCCATATGGCCTTTTATAAAATGGCCATTTTTCAAGTAATTCTGATGTTGAGGTTACCGTTTTAAGGTTTGTAAACCTTAACTGTCTGCAGGCTTTCCAAGCATGGTCAAAATCTTCGGAAGAGAGATTATCATATGTTAATGATCAAATCATTATTATCAACAACTTAAATTACCTACCAAAAGTTATTATGATCAATGTACCTCAATTTAAGTATCCTACTAAAATATTAATAAACACGTTAAAAAAAAACAAGTAAAGTTGAGCACTTTGAAGAACAAAACTTATTTTATCAAAAATTATCTCAACTCAAATATAAATCTACAACTGTTTAATAGTTTTTATAACAGGTAAAACAAAACAGTATTTTACTTACCAAATTGCACAATTTACTAAATTCTCTTCACCCAGAAGTTTCGTTACGCGAAGGAACACGTGATATAAGCGAATGAGCTAGCACAGAATAAAGATACGATTTTTGGAAACAAGCAGAAACCGGTAGAAACAAGTAAACAAGGTTCGTAAGGGACGAATTGTAAATCATAACTTATTGGATTCGTTCAGTTTTGTTTAATGTTTAGTACGTTGCGATAATCAATATTACGTTAATTTTACGAACTTGGCGTTCTTATATAATATTGTTATTGGCACAACAAATTATTTCGACATTATAAAGAATAAAATACGTCTCCCTAATAAAATAATTTATTGAGATCAAATGATCATTTGTACATTAATATCAATAAATCGGATTCGTAATATTAGTAATTATGTTTATCAATTTTTCTTTGATGTGTACATTAAGGTAATATACTTGTTCATTGACCAATAAACGTATACATTACTACTACGAATTCGTGTTATTGATTTTTATTATCAGCATAACGAAAAGTTTCATTGATGTAATGATTGAATACTTCGCCAAAATTAAAAAGGTTGTTGCCAGAATAATTTTTATACATTAATTTCAATAAATCGGATTTGTAATATTGATAAATGCATTATAGAGTCACCAAGAAAAATCTATAACATTTTCATAATATCGATGAAAATTTCAATGTGACAATCAAGTTGCTATTAATAAACAGCGTTTATTAATAATACGTACAAAATTTCTTTCAGTGTGTAAATATATCTCGACGTTGATTGCTGTTTCATGTAATTAATTTTGTGGAGCAACATTTTTTGGGTATGTCCCGTGTTTGCTTCCTACTTGTACAGGTTTTGTACGAAATAAAAAATAAAATAAAAAAATAAAATATATAAACTATAGGTGAAGTTGTTGATCTTTTTAGTAATTAAGCCGAGGTCGATTGCGGTCGCGACTCAGTGATTAAGATTATATACATTTCTGAAACTCGTCATCATTCATTTCAAGAATATTATCTTATAAATCACATCACAAACTAGAATCTTTAAGCGTCAATTTAACATACATATCATATCATCATTATTGTAATACAGTCGATATAATTTTTTCAAGATTTCGTGTTATCTTATAGTTTTTATATCATGCCATAAACTAAAATTATTTGTCGCAATACGACAAATACGAGCGTCCGCAAGGTACGTCCATAAGAGAGTTACGTAAGGATGTCACGAACTCAATAATATTGTACAGCTACGAAATATAAACGACATATTTACTCAAAGAACAGATTCGTGCAGCAATATCTGCTTATATGAATCGATTTCAAGAACGTGCAACTTCTATTAACAGCTACTACGTAATTTCTCACGAGACATGGACAAACCGACATCGGTAAAATGAAAAGAAGTGTTTAATCATACAGAGACGACATCCGTAAAGACGCTATACCATATCCAAGTGAAGAAGATGGAAAAGTGCTAGAGAGGAGCTAGCTAATGATGAAGCTTCTCTAACAAAACGACGACCTTGTTGCCATTATAATACCATTAACTACAGCTGTTATCGGGTCCGAATGTAACGTCTCAATTCATTACCATAGTGAACTAGGTCGAAAACACTCCGTTAACGTTGGTAATGATATCCCTTACTTGATGATAACTTATTATAATAACCTTTATTAAATAACACCCATTAATTTGTTTTAAAATGTGTCTTTAGTTCTAAGTATAAATTTAGCCACACTATGTTTACTACTTTCAAAATATTTGGCAGTAATATGTTTTAGGACATTCTGATGTTCAACAAAATGGCGACTTTCAACTTTTTTTTTTAAATGGTGTTAGATTTTATATTAGATTTGATAGGTTTATATTATATTAGTTCATTTTTATTGGATTTATTTGTATCGCCTCATTTGTTTAGTCTAGATTTGAAGTGTCTCGAGTCGCAAGATTAGGGTTTTTTATCGCATTATTTATTGGGTTGAGTGAAGTGTGGGAATGCGTTGGGGTGTATATTTCGGTGTTTAGGTAAGGGTTTTTAGTTATGACCTAAAATAAAGAAGGAGCCTGCGAGCTCAACTCGTATCAGTCATCCAGTCTTCGATTTAACACACACCGAAACAGTACCCCTTCAATTTACGCGGAGCAAGGCTCCCTATATAACTCTCGCCACAACTAATCGCAATTTATATGTATAGTTTAAGTGTAATTAATAATAAAGTTTATGGAAACGTAAAACCAAGATTTTGTTGTTAACCAGCGCCCACCAGATAAAAACTAAATAATCAAATGGAATGCCATAATTTTTTTTTTATTGTTGAAATTCTAAAAACGTTCTTTTTACGATGGTATTTCGTTTTTCTTAAAAATTCATGTCTTTCCCCATCAAAAAGCTAACTAACATTTTAATCTAGTAGCGCATGAATGTTTTACTCGATGTTATTTTTGGAACCGTTGACACAAAAGAAACAATGAAACTTTATTTTGTAATAAACATCTACTTTTTGAAACTCAAAGTTAAAAATTTACATCAAATAAAAATTAGGTATTTACAAAAAATACTCGAAATGTTTTCCTTCTTTTTCAATACATAAATTAAAACGTCGTTCAATGGAGTCAATAGATTGATAGCATTGTTTGACGTTTGACTACTAGATTAAAGTTCAATTGTTCTTTTGTGTCTACCGCTACTTGATATTTCGACAAAAATAACATCGAGTGTAAAACATTCACGAGCTACTAGATTAAAATGTTAGTTTGCTTTTTGATGGGGAAAGACATGAATTTTTACGGAAAACGAAATACTATCGCAAAAAGAATGTTTTTTATTGAGATCCTAACAAAAAAAAAAAAATTATGGCATTCCATTAAAAAAAAAAGTTGAAAGTCGCTATTTTGAAATAATTCGTCCAATTGAAAATCTGGTATCACCATCGTGAAGAGAATGTCCTAAAACATATAACTGCCAAATATTTTAGTAGTACCCATAGTGTGGCTAAAAAAAGGCGCTTACTCTGAAACAGGCTGTATATTAGAGGAATCATTATAGGTTACCTATTCCTAACAATGAATCAATTTGGATAAATTATTTATCCATTATATCATTAGCTACATAAGATATTTCGGTTCAATTGTAAAGGTGCAGTTCAGTACCACTTAATATGTCGACAACAGCTGTCTTTTATCTAGTAGAAAAGTATCTCCAGAAATGTTATTGTTGGCCGTCCTATCAAAGGTTTCGAGGATTCGGACCAATAATTTTCGTTTCTATTAATATGATTTGGGTAATTTTATCACTCGTAAATGAGATTAAACGTGAGTATTGTCA